GCTAGAACCGCAACCAAAATCAAACCAGCCAGAAGCGAGCCTTGTCCCTCCAAACGGGGCGTCCTCAACGGCCCCTACAGAACTACGGCGAAGCACAAGGCAACGATGCGAGCCCTGTCGGTACCTTCTACCTGAGAGGCGCTAACCAGGTGTTAACTGCCCCGTAAAAAGGAAAGATGTAGCAAGGCTCAATAAGTGCCACGTCACTGTTTGTACCTTTAGTGCGCATGCCTGGCGGCGGCACTAGTTGTGTATATATACTCGTTCTTGTTCCGGCAATAAAGTTGTTCATTGCCTGAAGCCGACACGCACGCAGCTGTGTCAAGCCAGGATGCAGTCTTAAAGTCTGAACTCATTTTATATGCTAGTGAAAACGTTCCAATATCTGACCAATGACGATGAAAAAAAGAGACGGCATGTCCACGGGGTGAATGATGGTGAGTTGAGCGAAGCTGGGTGTGCACGCCGCTGCCGCGCTGCTTCGGCCTCCCGTTCTCGAACGCCGGGATTTAGTCCGTGCTGTCGCACAACTTCCCGGCACGCTTCTGCCTCACGAGCTCACACATCAGGGTTCCGTCTTCGCGCTCGAGCCGCCGCCACCTTGCGCGCACGCTGCTCTGCAGCCTTGTTCATTCGCTGACCTTCTGCACGCACGCGCGCGCCAGAACCACTTTCACTTTACTACTCCGTGCTCCCTAGCGAACAGCGCCGCCGCCGAACACGCAAACGCCAACATCTTCATGTGACGTCATTCCAATTTTCTCGTGCACCCGCAATTCAAAGTTCCGTCTTCGAACGCGAGCAGCCGCCTTGCGCGTATCACACTCTTTATCACCAAACCGTGAATCATCCGCTGGCCGCGTCCATCTGTCTGTCTGTCTGTTTGTCTGCCTGTCTGTTTGTCTGCCTGTCTGGTGCACGGACGGATGAATGGAAGCAAAAACGGACGCATGCACAGACGGATAGATGGACAGACGCGTGGACGGATGCACAAATGGTCAGGCGGATGAACGGATGGACGCACACAGGGACGGACGGACAGAAGGACGCACGGATGAACGAATGGATGCAGGATGGACGTACAGATGTACGAAAGCAAGAACGAACTGGCGGAAGGAAGCACGGGCGGACTGACGGATGCTCGCCCCACTCGTCATCATTCACTCTATGAATATGCTGCGATTTTTATTATTTATCATACTACAAGTAACGTCCTCTAGTATTGTATCATTTGCTTTTTTCAGTGTATATGCATTTCTTTATATGTAACAAGCACGGCCCTCTACGACCGGTTCAAGAATTAACAAGAGGTGGCTACATACAATTACGATGGAACGCTTAGTGCACGGCTTAAGAAGCTTCGCTCCATAAAAGTGCCTGCATTGCAGCGATTACGCGAGAAAAATAGATTCCCACAAAGACCATGCAAGTTTGATCTGCCCACTTCATTAAAGGCACTGTGAAGCTCAGCGCTGGCTAATGGTACAGAGGCGATACTCAAACCTTAACTAGTTGATGGCCCCTAGTTACTAAGAATACACCGAACGCTGTGGGCTTCCACCCATGGCAGACGTGTGTGTTCTGGCGCCTCAAATGGGTAGCACAACGTGAAATTTAACACTGAAAATCTATCGCAAAGGTGTTTAAGCGACATCATTGGTGTGTACTGTTAGAAACAACGTAGGACACTAAGTAGCCGCGCTCAACATGAATTGCCGCGCATTGTACGTCACGGTGTCCACGTTTTATTGTCATTGCATTTGATTTTTTTCGAAAGTGATGCTAGTGAGTGGGTTCTCATCTATGCGAGCAAATGACTCATCACCTGTCTTTCTGCCTCTAATGAACATTGTCGCGTTTTAACTTATTCAACTTTTGGTGCGTAGAAAGTTTCATTCATGAATAGTTTACTTGTTAGTAAGCCATAATGATTTGCGTGACCCAGCTGCAGGTGCTGTCATCACATAATCAGTACATTTTTAATTTTTTTCGGATCACAATTCGGATCGCAAGTGATTACAATCGCCGCTGTTCTGTATAAAAAGTACGCGGTGTGTCACAAGAGCAGAAATATGTTTTTTATTCTGAGATTCTATGCTTAGACGAAAACACAAATATGTTCGTGGTTCAACAGTGGGTAGGCTTTCAGTTCCAGTCGAATAGCTGAATTGTACAACTATGTCAATATGGATCACTATGAATCGGGCAACTCTTTTCCTGCTTATTGACGATTTAGGTGCTTTTCGAAGACGTGCACAGGGAAAAACAGGTGTGGGCTGTCAATTACCTGTCTGCATCTACAAAATGCATATCCACTTCATGGACATGTAAAACCCACTGGGCCAAATTAGCTTGCTGACAAACCTGCCCTGTAGTTGGTGTATTGTCTGTCGGCATCTGTTACAGGCAGCACGCCACTGGGGGCCGCATTCATTGGCCTGCCTCGACGGGTAATTCACGCGGCGACCTCCGGGCATGCGAGCCGTGTTACCTGTTGCAGTGGCCGTGCCAGTACCTCCCGTGCGCTATGTTGAGCCCCTTCGTGTACCTTTTAGACGTTGCGTTAAACACACCCTAAAGAATGCGCCAGAAATAGAGCAACAAACTCAAGTAGATTATAAAAAAACCGGCACCATTGAAAGAGCATTACCGGAAGTGGCACAGAAAGTCTTCTGGGGTAGGCCGTTTGGCACGAGCCAGTCTGTTCACAAACACCAAAATCGTCCGTAGTACTATATCTGCTAAAACATTTCTCACCACTTCATATATTTCTGACGTGAGCAGCCGCCATAGTTTATTCATACGAGAATACAGTAAGAAAGGGCTGAACAAGCAAGCATTGGTTTAGTACTAACAACCCTTCCAAAAATGTTACACTTGAATCAGTGAAGTAAGGTCAAAATAAACTTCAAAAATAGTTTCTCGTTATAAAATTTTGTATTCGTTTGGCAAAAGCAATCGTCGTGTAATTTATATTTTCATGAAAGTGCTTACACTGACAGTGCCTGGACTGCAAATTCTCACAGCACTGTTATTGCGACTGGACCGCACATCTTTGCCACAGCCAGCCACAGCCGACACAGCTCACAAGCTTTACCAGTGTGTTCTATATCCAGTGTCTTTGCAGTAAAATCATGTTGGCAGGATCCGTATTCAGCCCTATTTCTTTTTATTGAAGGCAAGTATTTTACTTTTGAACTACCTTAACCATTGTATTATTAGCACTTTTTGCACATTTTGTTTGTTACCCTAGCCAGTGTTGGCCCATGACTGCAACGGACATGGTGCACGGGGGCATCAAGCTTGACGTATGGGACTTACTGTACAAGGTAAATCTTGTTAAGAAGCTAACATTTCCATGCTTCGTGCAGAGGTCACCACACTCCTCTGGAACACTCGAATGACACACTCCGAATTTCACTGTCGATGTTGTTATGCATGACCACTAAGGACGCTCACATGTGGGCTATCTGAATTACTCATGCTGGAAAGTTCCAAAGCGTGCAGTTGCAGCGTTTTAGACTAGTGTGTTAACCTCTCTACTACAGCCATGCAGCTCATTTTTCTGTCTGTAATATCATATTTTTCTTTCACGCAGCCTGTCTGCATGATTGCTGATGCAGTGCAGAACAAAGAAAAAACTTTGAAGAAAAAACCTCCTTTCCAGAAGCTGCAGCAGAATGGGCAGCACTTTGTCTACCAATACGCTTATTAGCAGAAATAGGGAGATTGTACTACAAAGCTCGTTGTGTATGAAACATTTTCATCCAACTATTGTTTTTAAATAAACAATCTTTTTGTTGAGCACTTGTTCTGAGTATTTGGATGACCATTTGTGCTCAGCCGGTAAACCAGTTGGGAACCAGGTTATTGAAACTGGCTGACCAGTTGAGCACCTGGAACATTTAATTGATTGACCACATATATTCATTTGCTTAACCAATCGAACACCATGTAACCTTGACTGGCCGTCTAGTCGAACAGCAGCTCTATTCAACTGGCAAACCATTTGGACACCATCTAGCTTCCTTTGTATTACTGCACTTATTCGGATTGCTTAACGAATAAACACTGCTTAATTCGAACAGGTTGACCATTTACGATTAACTGGATTACCAGTTGCATACCAGTTCACTTGAACTGGTTAGCCTTGTCAGCCCCAGTTAGCTTCAATTGGATGACCAATTGGACCCAAGCCTACACAAACTGGTCAACCAATTAGCTACCAGTTGTGTCTAAATCCTTATAATCTATTGAATATGAACTGGTTTACCAATTGCTTTTAATTGGTACATTTTCAACTGCTGGCGAAATTGCAATAGGTTGAACACCAATTGATGCCAATTGGTATTTTCCCAATTGAACCACTTGAATTTTTTTACTACGCAGCTTGTGCTTAGAACAGTAAGAACATCAATACTGATTGCAATAACAAGATGGACATGTGACTGCGACAAGTTAAGCCTTCCTACCACATATGCGTATATTTGACAGTGCCGATCCTCGAACCTGGTAGCGTAGATGAAATCAGTGGAAGCTATTCTATTCCAGTGCGTATGTTGTCTTATGCTGAGAAACTGTACACACACCGCATTGTCCTATGCGCAACGGCTAGAGTCCTCGCACAGCATACGCTCTAGAGACAAGTGTTTATTGAAGTCGATAAGGGTGGAGATTTTGGCTTGTTCGTATGGCAGCACGGTAATATATGCAAGCGCAGACAAAGAACTTGGACAAGAGAAGGCACATTCAAGATTACACAGCCCTAACTTTCAACAACTGTGTTGAACCTGTGTTCAAATTAAGCACTGTCTTGTCTCGAATGTGCCTTCTCTTGTCCATGTCCTATTATCTGTGCTACCACATATTATCACAAGTGTTTAAGTTCCATCGTTCAAAAAGTTCAATACCAAAGCAGAGTCCTTCGACATTTAAGGGGTGTGGCCATAGCTAACAAAGCACAGTCTCGATGTATAAAATGATGCACCAATCACATTTACCCTGGTAGTCAATGCTGATGACGAGAGTGAGCGGATCTCCAATCTTGACATTCTCGGCTATGACTTCTTCCTCGGAGTCACCCACAAAGATCTTCATGCTGCATCCCGGCATGGGCGCCGTGGCCACTAAAGGCGTCGTTCCCAGCATGCTGCCGTAAAAAAATAAAGAACTTTAGTCATGGCTGGGCAGGTCTGCCCGGCCACAAAAAATTCTCCTTGAACGAATTGTATCGAATGAGGGAGGGAGATTTATGAAAGAATTGATTTGGGCGCAAACGAACAAGAATAGATGCGGATATACGAGCGCTCAAATATATTCCAGAATGAAGTAGCTAATCCAACAAAGCATTTTATTAAGGACTTATGAAGGTTCAATTTTGGGCCGCGCGGCGGGTGCAGCACGATAATAAAAAAAATCAGATAAAGAACACACAGTCCCGATCATCCCGCATGGATCCCGCCGGCTTTGCCACCAATCCTACCGGTCCTGACGCCCAAGGAGACGCCAGACCTTGCGGTGCTGCAGTCGCTGCGATTCAACATGTCAACCTGCCACCATTTTGGCCCAACAGCCCCAGCACATGGTTTCTGCAGGTCGAGGCGCACTTCCGTCTACGGCAAATCACCAGCCAACAGACCAGGCACTGGCATCTGGTATCCTGCTTACCTCCGGACGTAGCCGACGACTTAGCTGATAATTTAGCTACGCCGCACTCGAGCCATCCCTACGACACGTTGAAGGCAGCTATCATTTCCCGCAAGTCTTTGTCCGAACACAGCAGACTCCTACAGCTCATCACGACTACAGAGCTCGGTGACCGTCCCCAATCACAGCTCCTGCGACGCATGTGCCAGCTCCTTCGTGACCCCTCCGCCCCTCAAGAGGTGAGGCTGTTACGTGAGTTGTTCCTCCAGCGCTTACCGCAGAACATGGTCCCGGTCCTCGTAGCTGCAGGAGATGTCCCAGTAGACACACTCGCTGAAATGGCTGACCGAGTGGCGGACTTCTCGCGGGCACATAGCCTCAACGCCGTTACCACACTGCCACCGGCCACCGCTGCAGACCCGGCGCTCGCGAGCATCGAGAACCGTTTGGACGCCCTTGTCAGGCGCCTCGATGACTTTGTACCTGCGCATCGTCGACCGTCATCCACGTTCCAGATACACAGTCGCTCCTCGACGCCCCCACGTTCTCCGGAACTTCGGCCACCCGACGCGCCGCGGGACGTTTCATCCTCAACCGTGTGCTGGTACCACCGCCGATTCGGTGCCTCTGCTCGCAAGTGCACTCGCCCGTGCTCCTGATCGGGAAATGCGATGACCGGCCACTAACGGCGGCAAGTAGTACTGGTCGAAATACATGCCGCCTTTTCTATGTTTCTGATAAGATCGCTGGCGCTTGCTTCCTAATCGACACAGGAGCCCAGGTTAGCGTCATCCCGGCCTCGTGTTCAGATCGCCGTCGCAACGAACAGACCTGCCCACTCCAAGCGATCAACAATTCCGCCATTCGCTCATACGGCCAACACTTGACCTTGGACTACACCGTACGTTCCGCTGGATTTTCATCCTCGCTGACATCTCGCAAGCTGTTCTTGGAGATGACTTCCTCAGTTTTTTCAACCTTGCTGTGGACGTGCATGTTCATCGCCTCATTGATCTCAACACCCACCTCTCCATCAACGGTGTACTCTGTACTTCCTCGCCAACGGGACTGCGAGCTCTCACACCTGCTTCGCCGTAGGCAAAAATACTCGACGACTTTCCCAGCATCACGAAGCCGCACACCAGAGAGTCACCAGTGAAGCATTCCATCACTCACCACATTGTGACCACTGGACCTCCCGTATTTACACGACCCCGTCGACTATCTGGAGAACGCCTCGCCATCGCCCGCCGTGAGTTTGAGCACATGCTTGAACTCGGCATTGTGCGGGATTCCTCTAGCAACTGGGCGTCGCCACTCCACATGGTGCCGAAGAAAGATCCTGGCGACTGGAGACCATGTGGGGATTACCACGCTCTCAATGCCCACACCTTACCAGACCGCTATCCACTTCTTCACATATAGGATTTCACATCGAATTTGGCTGGGTGCACAATCTTCTCTAAGATTGACTTGGTGAAGGCTTACCATCAGATTCCTGTAGAACCCGCCGACATTCCGAAGACGGCCATCACCACCCCATTCGGTCTGTTTGAATATGTGAGGATGCCTTTTGGATTGCGCAACTCTGCACAGACCTTTCAGCGCACTATCGACGAGGTCACGCGAGGTCTAGATTTCGTATTTGCCTACCTTGATGACCTCCTTGTAGCAAGCTCATCCAGCTCTGAGCATGAAGCCCACCTGCACACCCTGTTCCACCGCCTGGATGATTACGACCTCGTAATTAATCCCAATAAGTGCCTCTTCAGTTCGCTACAATAGAGTTCCTAGGCCATCTTGTCACTCCAAAGGGTATCCAACCACTCGCCAGCAAAGTGAAGGCAATACCCGACATCGGTAGCGTCGTCCCAATGAATGCATTCGTCGGGACCACGATATGTGGGGTTTCACGTTCCGAAACCACCATATGATTATGAGAGACGCCGTAGTGGAGGACTCCGGAAAATTCGACCACCTGGTGTTCCTTAACGTGCAACCAAATCTGAGCACACGAGCTTGCAACATTTTCGCCTCCATCGAAAATGCAGCCGCCACAGTGGGGATTCGATCCCGCGACCTGCGGATCAGCAGACGAATACCTCAGCCACTAGACCACCATGGCGGGGCGCATAGAATAAATTCCAGTGTTTCCAGAGCAGCCCAATTCCTGTCGCGTCGGGCGCGTCGGAAGAAGCACGCCAGCCTGTGAATAGGATCCCTGCAGCGCGCGAAATGCCATCGGCCTACTGCTCTGCGGAAAACCGCTACCACTTCATGCCTGCTGCTGGTAGTGGCGATGGTAGCACTCCGTCGATTTTGTCGCTACCGCGTCGTTCGTCGAAGCATGCCACTCTGGCGCTACTTGATGAGGGTTCTAGTTTAGCACTCGCATGCGAGCCAAACTTCATTCCTCCAACTCACTCGATTTGTCAAGCGATGACGTATCGAAGCCGACCAACTAAGGCCACACGTGAACTACAATGCGTGAATTCTCGAACACGTGTGAACGTGCCATTTCATTTCCGAAAACTTAGCTTGGCTCAACCTTGCTTAAGTCGAAAAGTGCGCGGCCAAAATACTTGCATAGGAAGACCAAAAAAGAGCTGTAACTCTTGTAACATAATTTAGCACGCTAGAAAGCAGTGGTCGCGGGACCGCAGGCTTGACAAACACAACATTACGTTTTTTCTCACTTGCGGCGTTACACTGCGGCATAATTGTTATGGTGACCACGCCTACTTACTGTTTGCAGGTTGTCTCCTTAAGACTGCATCATCGCCGCAACTATAAAAGTTCTGAATTTAAATGCTCTACGGTGTTTTCTGCGTTACCATTTCGTTAATACAAACTCTGACCGGTAAGCTTTTCGTTGCACTCAAGACAACGGGTATCATAAATATTGGTTGTGGTTTCCTTTAAAGTATGCCACCACGGTGTAGGAAGGCGTGCATGCCACCTATTACACAGAATGCGGCCGTATGCGAACGCTTCTCTGACACAAGCTGTTTTGAATTGAGCATGCACTTTGAGGACAGTATATGGCTATTGCGTTCAACTCTTGAAGGCGCAGCTTAAGGTCCCCCCCCCCCAACCCCATTTTTTCATCTCGTTTTCATATAGCCAGCATAGCAAAGTGCGAATGAGCCTTCGAAGAAGCTAACCATCTTCAGAACAATATCAGGAGTTGCACGTCAACTCACTTTAAAAGATTGAGCACGTTTCTTTTAATGAATACGAACTGTATCTCGTCACTCAAGTGCTTCAGAAATCCGTATGATGACACCTACTTCAGATAGTAAAAATGAAATGCCTCCCGTAATCTTGCGGCCTGCATCAAAAAGGTAATTCGTAGCACACTCTTGCCAATTAGTTTTTGAAGTTTTCCGTCCCCAAACCATCATCACTATGACCCACTATTGGTGGGCTCCTGACATTTCGACCACTTTGGAATCTTTCACGTGGCACGAAACCTAAGCGCATGGGTTTTTATTAATTTGGCTCCATTTAAATGCGGCCTCCGCATTTCAATGTGGTCGAGCACTGTAAGCTTCACGGTGGGTCAGGCTAGCAGGCACAGAAACAGAACCAGGCGACACAAACACCGAGTAAGAATTGCCAGTGCACCGAGAAAAAGCTTGGGACAAAACTCGGCTACGGCAGCGCAGGTATGGCAGATCTACCCGCCAATTGGGTGAACTTGAGGGACTACGCTAGAACTTAGCTTTTCATTCCGTCTTTGTGCAAGTTACTCCATTCACGTGACGCCCCCTTCTCAATCAGCATGGCATACTTTACCAGGGGTAGCCGCTTAGGATGTGAAAGCGGGTTCGCTAACTGGTCATGTGTGCAGAGAGCAACAGCACCCGTAGGCTTAATGACATGCTTTGGCCGCAAATAACACCAACACAAAGTAAAGTAACACACAACGACAGGCACAAGCGCCTTGTCGTTGTGTGTTCCTTTACTTTGTGTTTGTGTTATTTTCGGCCAAAGCATCTCATTGGGCAAGTACCAACTAAGTCAACAATCAGTATTGTTAGCCGTAGGCTTACCTGACGTTGAAAAAGTTGGTGATGGTTTTTTCTTTAGTCTGGTACCGACATCGAATATGAAATCCACGGCCTTGGTTCGTCACTAGCTTTCGGTGAGGTTGCACCACCACGGTGTTGAAGTACTCCACTCCTTCATCCTGCATGTAGAATAAACGTGCTTGTAGAATACGGAAGTCGTTCTATGCGCGTCAGCTGTCACTAAAAGACAGTGAAAAACTTCTTAATTTCAAATCACTTATAAAAAAGTTTTGACATCTGCACACCAGTAGTGCGAAGATAAGGAAGCGTTGGAGCTGGTGACGTCGCACTCTTCTTCACCGCCACTTTATTTACCAACCCCTTGCTGTACTACACAATGAAAGCCTGTTACACTGACGTGAAACATAAAGAGGTACACGGGACCGCTTCTTCTTGTAGGAAGACATCAATAGCAGCAAGGGGGCATTGCTACAGACAATGGCCAGTATGGAGAGCCATGGCCAGTATGAAGAAACGCGAAGGTGTTGAACGAGCGCTCACGCACTTGTCTAGTACATGCGTGCCTGGTATTTATTGTAACGTCTTTAAAACATTTTCGAAATCTCGCACAAAATGGGTTACTCAGTGAAATGTCCCCTTTTTATTAAAGGGACCCTGAAAGCGTCTTTGAACGTTTGTTGGCATTTAGGCTTGAGCATCATCGAATTACACACTGCGCAAATAGCACAAATTTAACGACACACCGTGTGCTGAAACTGCTACGGACAATTGTATCTACAACCTCATTTCCCCCTGTTTTGTCTCCTCAGCTCATGAAAAAAGCTGGCATCCCTGGCAATCATACGGCTCTCAGGAGTGCCCACTTGTGTTTGAGCTTCGTCCAGTCATCACTTTCGAGACAGCGCGCCGACAGGTTGCGCCGAATCTCGAACGTACAGTGTCCCCAGCAGCACAATTTTTTTCTACCAAAAATAACGAAGGTTGACTTGTGCTCTGACAGGGGACGCTACATTGTCAGTTGATCGCATTTGACCCTTCAGATTGGCGACAACAAGCAAAAGCACGCGAAAAAACAAATTCCAGAACGGCCACCGATCACCATGAACTCACGCAAGATGGTTCTTCTGGAGTAAATATACAGCTTCAGCTACAATCACCGTAGACACGGAGCAAGAAGATTAGAGGAGGCGAAACTGTGCTCACTCGGGCGTCCTAAAAACATCATGAAATCTGGCACAGCACGGACGTGCCCTTTGTCGGTAAACTCCACTCGCAAAAAAAAAAAAAAAACGCACGCGCCACCCTCACCGCACTTTCGTTCAAGACCACTTCACGCTGAATTGCCGTTCACACCCAAGTGGTTGTGCGAACTCGCCAGCTCCAAGTTTTATCGCGAAAGCGTTCAAGATCACGTTTCGCAGAAATGCCGGCATCGGGGCCATTGATTCTGATTGAAGATTGACGTTGTTCGCAAGCGCAATATCAAGATGTAAATTGAATGAGCAGGTATGATTAGTTCAAGCCACGAATGAATTAGACACTAAGGAAGCTATTAAGTGAACGTTCATTGTTGAAATAGTGGTTCATAAACCTTGTAATGTTACTGTTGTGCCATGAAAGGGCTTATTTTGAAATAAACTGACATTTTAGTGGCCCGCATCGGGTTGGCACGCTTCAAATTACCTGCCTGAATAGGCGTACCGACAGACGTAACTGTTGCCGTGCACAACGTTCAGATTGGCACGGTGGCAGTTCAGACTGGCACGTTGGATGGACGCGTTTTTTGAGCGCTCTAGATTGAGTGCGCAGATAAGTGGTTTAGCATGTTTTTAGGTTGCCTTCGTAATTAAAAAAAGCAGCAGTTAAAATTTTTGTAGCCGCTATCACATTGTATGGCTTTTTCGGGGGTCACCAGGTATTTACTAGTTTGTGCGTGTATGTGTGTTTTTTTCTTGCCCCTTCCGATGGGCAAGGTGCATGTGCATTGAACACGCAAATTTTGGTATTAGAGTTTAGACTTTCTCTTTTTCGTAGGGCAGGAATTGTGTTTCGTAATTATCGATTGAGACAATTCTTTAAAAATCTTGGTGTCAGAAAGATATGGTTAAAGAGGCTGTAAAGTGTTCAGGATGCGGGGCTGGTTTGAAAATGGACCCAAGTGTAGAAGCGAATTGAGAGGAGGCTGACGCCAAGTGTAGGCAAAGTTAAATCAAGAAAAAATGGAGAAAATGATGATTGCCCAGAGTGAACTGCTGATGAGAATCACCGAGCTTGAGACTGCGTTGGCAACAGAGTAAGAGAAACCGAGGGCTATGGGAGAAAGGCTGAAGCCCACCGAGGAAGCACTAGAGAAGGTAAAGAAAGGAGTGGCCGACGGAGAGAAGAGTAAACCACCGGCAACCAGAACGGCGGAAAAGAAAGAGCAAGCAAGTTTGAAAAAAAAACTGCTTCAGCTGGTTCAATGGTCCCAAAGCCCAACTTCTCCGAAGTAATGGTAGGGCTGGGAGGGAACGAAGCAGCTGGCGTCACAAGTGCAAGTAACCCCCAGGTGCAGCACGCTCCCGCTGAAAAGTCACAGTATGTGATAATCGCCGGGGACTCAAATTTCAATCGATGCGCAGAAGCAATTAAAGAGAGGGTGAGAGGTGACAAGAGGGTTGCAGTAGGGACGTTCCCAGGACGCAAGCTGGAAGCAGTCATGAGGCAAGCGAGCGCAAAACTCAAAACTATGCCTGATAGACGAAACCTCGTGATAATTTCAGATGGTTTAATCGATGTCTTAAATGAAGATACCGCAGGACTAGCGACCACACTGGCGAAAGCGGTCGATTACATGCGCGCCACTTCTCCTCAGGTACAGGTAGGGATATGCACAATACCGGAGGTGCCTGTGCGGGACGGCAACCTGCAAAGAGTGGCTGTCAACGCAAACGAAAAGATATGGCGGATGAGTCGAGAGAAATGTTTAGAGGTGGTGGAAATAAACAGAGAGGTGCAGAGGTGGGATGGAATTCAACGAGACAGAATTCACTTCGATGGGCGGGAAGGTCACGAGGTGGGTTGGCGACTTGCAAGAGGCGCAGTAGCTTTTTTGGGGGGTACGCGGGCCCTTCGGGATGCAGGATAGCTAGTAACGAGGAAAACAATCAGCAGACTGTTTGACAGGTGGTATGGACAGAAACGATTCGACAGTGGCACCAGTATCTAAGATAGGTAGAGTCCGGGGCCGAAACAGACGTAGCCACGAGGGCCGAGCCAATTCAGACAAAGGGTATATTTACATGCAGGGTGGCAGGAACAGGCTGAAGTGGGAAAAAATATAACAGCTAAGGGAGGACAGGCCGATAGTATACGGTTTGGTAGAAACACATCTTAGGGACATGGAACAACCTCCTGACAATCCGGACTACGCGTGAGAATATTGTAATAGAACAGAACGCCGCAGAAAGGGGGGTGGTGTTGGGGCATTCATTCCTAAAAGTACAGTCTGGCAAAAGGTCAGGCAAGAGTACAAGGAACATTTATGGGTAAAAGAGAATGTGGAAGGGCAAATACCACTCCTTGGTTTGGTGTACTTGTGGACGGGAGCGAAGGCCAGAGAGGAAAACCAGGCAATGGTAGAGTGCATATCAAAGGACATTGAGGAATTAGAAGGAGAGTGCGAGATAATTATACTAGGAGATATGAATGTGCACATAGAAGACATAGATGGGCATACTAACCCAACTGGCAAAATGATAATTGATATGTGTAAAAGGCATGATATGATCATTTGTAACAGTACTGAGAAGTGTGAAGGGCAAATAACATGGGAGGTAGGAAGGCTGTAGTCGAGAATAGATTACGCACTGATGTCACATAGGTTGTATGTAAAGCTCAGGAGAACGCACTTAGATGAAGGTGGCTCCAGAAGTCTGAGTATTGATCACAAACGTATCAAGCTAAGTTTTGGAATAGCAGTAAAAGTTGGAAGGAGACAAGATGAGAAACTTTAGGAAAAGTTTTATTCAGAAAGGCAAATAAAAGCAGCTACTAAACAAACTGAGAAAGTAACCACGGAAGACAACAAAACTGTGCGGACATACACGAATCTAATTAGACTGTTTGAGCTAGAGCTTGCTAAGGCACGTGACAAGTCATCCCTGAAAAGAAGACACACACCCAAGAAATGGTGGGTTGAGGAAGTTAAGAGAGCTATAGCAAAACGTCAGGAAGCCTCTAAAGAACACAGACATGCTGAGCAGCGGGCTGAACCAACAGATGATGTTGAAAGAAAACGGGAAATGCTTCTAAATTATAGAAAGCACGCGTCCCATCTGATCAATGAAAAGATTTGAAGAAAGGGAGCTCAGTGGCTGGCAGATGCACATAAAAAAGAGAGAAACGCAGCTGCAAAATTTTAGAACAACCTAAACTCTCTTAGAAATGAGACGAGCCTAAAGCAGAGGTTTATAACTACAGTTGAAGGTGCTAGGCTAGAAGGGGACAAAGCTATTGAATATATAAGAACAAATGTGACAAAAAAATTTCAACAAAGAAGTGCCTTATGCACCACAACAGACAAGGATGAATCAAGTGGCGCAATGGCTCAATTTTCACATCAATTGTGGGAAAAAAGGGCTGAGAAGAGTGTTCCTAGAAGTACACCAACATGCCCAGATGGCATTCCAATTATGCTTAATAACACATTGGGTCCAAAGTCTAAGGAGACTTTCGGAGAGGCAGTGAGCAAAATAATAATTGATGGTAAAGTCCCCGAACGATGGAAACTTAGCAGGATGAGCGTGATCTATAAAGGGGGACAAAGCTGACATAAACAACTACCGTCCTATAACAGTGACATCAGTGGTCTACAGGCAGGCGATGCAGCTTTTAAAGGAAAGACTGCAGGCATGAATAGAGGATGAGGGCGTGCTGGGAGAACTAAAGAATGGGTTTCGGAAACACAAGAGGCTGGAAGACAATCCGTTCTCACTGACGCAGTGCATCGAAATAGCAGAAAAGAAACACAGGCCCCTGTGGCTAGCATTTTTTGATATCAAGGGAGCGTACGATAACGTGGTTCAAGAGGACTTGTGAGGAATCCTGGACACATTAGGTGTGGCAGATGGAGTCGCTAATCTTTTAAAGGATATCTATAAAGGTAACAAGGTAGTTA